TATATATATATATATATAGAGAGAGAGAGAGAGAGAGAGAGAGAGAGAGAGAGAGAGATCTATACATAAATTTACATCATTGTTCATCTTTGTATGACATTTGCCTTCTTTCTCAGGTGTCGTCTTCATAGAATTCCCACCACCAAACCATCACCACAGCCCCTTGTGTTCTTCCCTCTCCTGTTTTGATCCCTCTCCCCGCCCCACAAAATGTCTGAATTATAGTTGTCTGTTAATTTTGTCTTATATATTGAAATTGCTATTAATTTTTCCCTGGTTCCTTATTTGGTTTGTCTATTTTCCTATTATAAGTAAAATCATTCCATATTTTTTTTTCCCTTCTGACCTACTTCACCGAGCATAATCCCTTCTAGCTGTATTTTAATATTAAGTAGGGCACATACTGTTACATCAGCCTCATGAGTAGAAAGTATCTCATTTTAAAGATAAAAATCCAAAGATCTGCTGTCTCATATATTTTTCCATTCTTTAAATAAGAACACAATCTCTATTTCCTGATACTTTCTGTATCAGTTGTGATGGATATTAATTTTTAATGGAATAAAAAATGGTAAAATAAAAAATACCAAATGAAAAACTAATGCAACAAATGATACAGAGGATAGCAGGAAACTGATATCTATAATCAAGAAATAATAAAGTTATAAATGAAAAGTCTATAAGCGCACAAACAATACTACATCTAGTCACAATTGCTGACGAGTGATTTTTAATTACTCGATGATTCCCCAAAAATGAAAATAATGTATTAAAATTTACTCAAAATAGGTAAAAAAAAATCAGGAGAACATCAGAGCAGGAAATTGAAAAATTATAACAGAGTAACTTCTCTAATGAAATTCATAGACTTAGATGATTTTATGCTCAAGCCTGTAAGTTTTCAGGTATCTGAAAACTGCAGTTACTGTTCCTCAGCTAAACTGAAACATTACCTAATGAAGCTAGTGCTAACCTATTCCAAAAACTGAAAGAAATAACCTGTAGGAAAAGTGTAGACTGAGCTTAACCTAGCTTGCTCTTGAAAACAGATACAAAAATCAGAGCAGAGCTGATTAGCTACAGAGATCGAAACTCACCTCTATGGTGCCACCAAGGTGGTAGAGAAGCTCTGAGACCCACTACACTAGCAATATCATAATACGGGAAGTGTCCAATTCCAGTTTACATTAGCAGATTAAGTGACTCCATAGAATCAATGCAGCTTAACTGGCATGCTGAGTAACACAAGCGAGAGCATTGTCAGAGAGGAGACTGTCAAAGTCTCTGTGTCTCTGTGTCTTCCTCACTATGCTGCATATCTATGGCGATGTTTTATTTACATAGAATTGTGGGTTTCCAGATATTTCAAATTTAAAAGGGTGTTTCCTACCCATAGCTTTCCTTTTCTTATTTCACAGAAGAGGAAACTGATGTTCACATTTTCAGTTCTTGCCTAAAATGATCAGATACTTAAAAGCAATCTTCTTTCATGTACCTTTCATGAAACATTTTATCTTTGTATCATTTTGCTCTCCTTGATAGACCCCTCACAAATATTGCTTGCACTTAAAACAGTGACAACAAATAGATTTTGTTATACAACACAAAGCAGGGGATAAAGAGAAACACATAGCTGTCACCTTCTTACAGTCTCTGGAACAGTGAGAGAATGAGGTCCATCAGGCCAGCCGAAGAGACTGAACCAGGTCTGAACTGCACTTACAACCTTCTCAAAGAAGTTATAGGTCTTTGATCCTTCTTCAAGTGAAATGAATTGCTTGTTTTTCTCCTCCTTTTTCATAGCTCTGCCGTCTCTCTTCGCCTTTCCACTTCTGCCTGATTTCAACCTTTCATATAATATTTCCATTCCTGAAATTCACATTTGTTTGTAAAAATAGTTACTTGATCACAGAGTAAAATATTGTTACCTACTGCAATTTGTATGTAGATAAGACTATTTTTTTTCCTACAAATTATCCTCTGCTCTCGAAGAAATTCTGAGTCAATTTACTGTAGAGTTAAATAAATGTATTTATTTTCAAGTACCCAACAGAAACAATTCTAAAACAGAGGAATTTCAGAGCCCTCCCTGGTGGCGCAGCAGGTTAAAGCACAGCACTATGAAGCTAGCTGCAACCACCTCAACACAGGTTCGATTCTCGGGCCAGGGAGATGATTCACATGGCACAGCAGACCTCTCCTGTCTCGCCCACTGCTCCCCTCAGCAGTGTACTTTATCTATCTGCCTGTTTTGCTTCCCACTCTGTCTCTGGTAACTCCTCTCACCACCCCTGCACTTCTGGCCTGTACCCAAGTTCTGTATGCATAAATAAATATTTAAAAAAAAACATAAGAATTTCAGTAAAGAAAACTACTAAATTTTCTTACTGCCATAATGGTATGTGAAAATAGTCCCCAATATGGACGCTTTTATTTTCAATAACATGTCTAAAATATTTTGACAATTATCTGGCTTTACTTATTAAATATAATTATACTTCAGCTGAAAATTTATCAAAAAAAATATTGGCATCAGATTCACAGTGACTTTCCATCAAAGTGAAGCACCTCAGTGACATACTTTGGAGTCACAGAAAATTTCAAGAATATAAAATTTAGTAATTTTTTTTCTATATTACCCATATACAGGGTAAGGATCATGTATTAATTTAAGATTATAACACAGACAGAATCAGATTAAGAGTCTTAGATGATCTCTACAAATTTAATTACTGGAATATTTGAATAGCTAATAGTAAATATCAAATTTACATATTTATCTTTGCCCAGTTCTAAGTTAGAACAAAATGAATCCAGCTACATAATAGAGTTAAATTCCCAGTTCAGTAATTCCCAAAGTATGTAGAAAGGGAGCCTAAATGTCACAGAAAATTCACAGGGGTTCTGCAAGATATTTAATATTTTAGTTAAATATCTGCAGCATCTGTTAGATATCATATAAACTACTACTCTTAGATTTTTAAAGCAAACCACTTAATAAAACATTAAAATGTTTTCAATGTTCCTATAACAACATTTTTGGAATTATATGCTTCATTAAAAATTGAACATTTTAATTATTAAAGTAAGTCTTCTGACATTATATCCTGAAATGAAAATGAAATCAGTGCTTGGTTATAAGCTGATATCACTTTGCACAGCTTTCAATCTCTATTACAGTTAAAGTTACTAACTATACACTAGAGTTTGTCACAGTTATAATGTGAATCCAAGAACAAGAAAATGTTGAGCAAAAAAAGCAAGTAGATGGAACTTCATCCAGTTATCTATCTATCTATCTATCTATCTATCTATCTATCTATCTATCTATCTATCTATCTATCTATCTATCTATCACTCATCCATCTAAGCTGGCTGCCTACCTACCTGCCCATCTACATGTGTGTATACATGTATGTATAAGCATATATATACATACACACATATATTCATAACGAATAACGTATTCATAACAAGGTCTGTGCAAACGGAAAGATCTAATTTGAAAACTGGACCCTCCATAAAATAAAAACCAAAGATCCTGAGCTCAAGAGATTGCTGTAAGGATCATATTATAAGCAATAATACATGCAAATAAGTTGGTATATGTTTCTTTTAGTCTTTCAATACAAATCCACCCAGAATTTGCCAGAGATCCAGGAGGTGTGCATTTCTCCAGGAATGCTACACCACCATAGACTTCACAGAAATAATTCTTGGGGGATTCGATGAAAAATGAACCACTGTGAATGTATTAGGCAGTATCTTTTTAACTTACTATCAAATGATAAAAGGTTTAATGGGGTGCAAATTCACATCTGTACCTTTCAATTAAGTCAGCTTTTTTTTTTTTTTACTTAGTACATGAGTTATAAGAAATCATATTGCCATACTTTTAGATAGACCTAATATATTTTAAGATTTCACCTTTATTGAACATATCATATTCTAGAGCATATTAGCTAAGTGTGTTGGCTTTGACACCTCACAAATATTTCCCTGGAACAACGAGCTCAACTTTTCTATGATCCAGTTTCTCAATCCCTAAAGTGAGATTACATAAGACTATTAAATTCAGATTTACTGGGAATCCTAAATGAAATATCAAATATAAGGCACTTAGCAGAGCACTATATGCCTGAGAAGTACTAAATACTATAGATTATTGTTATACATATTTCTAAAGATATAATGGAATATTTGAGTCATGTATTTCTATAGTAATATTTATGCATTAATTGAACCCATAGATTTTATGCTCAATTATCAAGCAAACACAAAGAACACATTTTCCTTTCATTTTGAAAAGTAATCCCTCATTTTCTGGAAGGACATTAAGAAAAATATAGGAGTGGTAAAGAAATAATAATAATAACAGCAATAATAAAAATGATGATGAGGCAATAATGATGATGAGGTATTTATAATCTAAAGAAGCATTTTGAAATAAACAGATATTATTAGTGTCCTGCTAATAAACAGATATTATTAGTGTCCTGGTATTTGGAAATTCAGGGTGCTGCTTTATTGCCAGGCTTTCACTATATTGTATTTTCCCCAAATGATCCTGTTGAAGATTTATCATTTCTCAAGCTCTGCACAAAAATCATCTCTTCTATAAAGTCATCCAGGCACCAAACATTAGCATTAACATATCTCTATACCATCCCCAAATTCCCTACACTTCAAATGACTCCTATCCAGAGCATTTAATTCAATTTTTGTACTGATTTATTTATATACCTTTAAGAACTTCTTATGAACACTTAAGAACTTTTGCAATTAAGAGACACTGTCATATATTCTGCTCTGAATGCTAAACACAACTCCTGGAAATGACAGAAGTTCAATAAACATCTGTTCATTTCAGTCACTCTATTTCATAAATCTGGCCTTGGATAACAAGAACATAGACAATGAGAATTAAAGAGACAATATTCATATATAACTTACCGTTTTTCAAAACAACTTTTTGCTTATCAAGATATATTGCCATATATGGGTAAATAGTAAGAATACAGTTTTCTGCTGTTGCAGTCACTGGAAGTGAAAACCTGAAAGAAAAAAAAAAAAGCCTGTTCAAAAAATACACTCTTTAGATACGTAAACACAATAAAATTTTTATGTCTTCTGGATGCTTTTAATGATCAAGGTATGCATTATTCAACATTTTTCTTTCTACCAACTTTGCTTTACTTAAATACCTACTGTACCTATTTTAATAGTTTAAGGACATTTTTAAGACTTTTAATAGACTCTAAATTTCATTGTCAAGTGTGCTCCAGAACACCGATTGTCATTATGCAAGTTCAGAAACAGATTTGAAACTTTAATTTACTCACGTTGTTCTATAGAATCCCTGACAAATGGTTTCTAGCCTCAGATGACATTAGGGAGACACTACCAGGTTGACGCTTGTGATAACCCATTTCAGAGAGAGAGAGAGCTGTCATTTCAGAAATTCTGTCCAGCAGTGCAGAACAAAATCCACAATCTGATCTCTATCAAATTCCTTCAAATATTTAAATGCAGTCTTCAGATCCCCAGCATTTAGAACATCCAAGGATTCTTTCAACTGCAGTCTCCAAATATTTCCTATACAATCCAACTTCTTTAGATGACCTTTTGTTTTATGTCTGCCCTTTTTATGTGTCCAAGAACTGAAAGTAATACTGCAAAAGCTATTCTACCACAAGAGAATACTATTATCTCTCACAACCTAAATACTCAATTTCATGAATACATTGCAAAATTACCTTATTTTACACACAAGAAGCACATTTAGATTATATTATCCCCAGCTAAATTAGCAGCCACTCCCCATATTTTCTAAACGCAAGATCCTAGAATTCACTATTCTACCAGTTTCTGAGAATTTGCCTATTCTCAACATTGAATAACTAATAACTGTTGTCTGTGGATTAAATGTTGAGTCTACATGAAAGTCCCTTCCTCATCAACCTTTCATCCAATATATATAAAACACAAACAACATGTTTTATTGACATGGCAATTGAGACCTCATACAAATGACTGCCCTGCTGGCTTTGGTTCTGCATTATAATGTACAGATCATTTTAGTTTTGGACCAGTCATTTATCATATTAGCTCTTCTATCTGGCTTGATGACAGCTTGGTAAAGGAGCTGATTTTCATGTCAGTTCTACATACATTTTCCCACAAGGAATGGATTGTTTTTCTCTTTGCCAATTACTATGTAGTGAAACATTATGCAACATAATTCAACATTTTCTTGTTTAACCAACTCTAATCATTCTATTCTATTATGCTTAACACATTTATCAGATTGCCCTGTCCAAGATTAAACTGTATTACTACAGTAAATTTTCCCCCAATGATGTCCTCCTTAATATGAGATTTAATATTCCCTGATAGCATGAATCATTAGCTCTATCAAAGAATATTAAATTTTAAAATTTAATTTTAGTGTTACATCACTACTTTCACATATCTTGTATTGGCTATACAGAGTGATGAATCAAAATTGTATTAACTGATTAATTATGTTTAAGTGATGCTTTTTCGATTTAAGAGTATAGTTAATTCACAGACACTATCATCGTGCCTTTCTTAGAATAAAAAAAGGTTACTTTTAACAGTGATTAAAGGAGGAGGAAAAAAGATGACTTCCGCATATGCAGTGCTCCATCCTTATGGCCTTATCTCCTCGGATACACTTTCTCAGCACTGGGTTCCTATCCTCTGTGCAGTCATGATGTAACCATAACTTCCTTCAGGGAACTACTGTCTGTTCACAGGAGCTGCTGAGAGACACTATGTCTGGGAGTTTGGTCCCCAGGACAATCCTGTAGCAACTGCCTGTGTGGTCAGAGATTGGGTTAGGAGTCTAAAAATCCAGTTTCACTGTTTCCAATAGAATAACACCTGATGTAACTTTATTTCCAGAGAACTCCATGAGATCAAGTTGAGACCTGGATGTTGACTTAAACTTTATAATTATTTGGGATGACAATTCTCTCTTCTGCCTACCCCACTGCCTTGATGAATCACATGTCCATGAATCCTCATCTACAAGGCAATTTTTGTAATCATTACCACCAGCTAATTTTAGAATATTTTTATCACCTAGAAATGAAGCCCCTCCTAAATTAGCAGACACTCCCCATTTTCTCTAAACCCAAGACTTTAGAATTCACTATTCTACCTTCTGTTTCTGAGAGTTTGCCTATTCTCAACATTTAATAACTAATAACTGTTGTCTGCGGATAAAATGTTGAGTCCACATGAAAGTCCCTTTCTCATCAACCTTTCATTCAATACATATAAAACATACACAATATGTTTCATATGCTTAAATGCCTTCTGGAAGGTTTCCTCCAAACAGCTAGGTGTGCAACTTTCCAGGCTGACACTGAGCTAGGATCCCAAACTGCAAAGCACAGTGGAAGACAATGTTTGTGAGGGAGTGGTCTTTATTCTTTCAATGTGTAGTAGAATTCACTAATGAAACCCACTGGGACTGGATTTTCCTTGTGGGAAGACATTAAAAAATAATTATGCAGTATTTTTACTTGCTATAAGAATGCTCAGGTTTGCTATTCCTCCTTCAATTTTGGTAGTTTGCATCTTTCTAGGAAATTGCTAGTTTCACCTAAATTATCTAATCTGTTGGTATACAACTTATTATTCCCCCTTTTTTATTGTATTTGCATTTAATTTGCCCCTCTTTTTCTAGTTTCTTAAAGTCAAAGGTTAGGCTACTGATGTGAAACCTTTCATCGTGGTTAATATAGACACTTCACATTCTCGTCTATAAAACTGATTTGGCTTCCATAGGTAAATTTTTATATGGTATGTCTTCATTTTCCTTTATCTCAAAGTACTTTCTGATTTACCTACAATTTCCTCTTTGGCCCACTGGTTATTTGGAAGTATACAGTTTAATGTTATCATGTCTGTGAAGTTTTCTAATTTCCTTCTGCTGTTGGTTTTTAATCTGTGTCAGAGACCATATTTTCTATCATTTCAATCATTTTTAAGAGATACGAAGACTTGTTTTGTAATCCAACATAAAACTATCCTAGAGTATTCCCATTTGTGCTTGAAATGCAATTTCTGCAATTAAGTGACACATTGTCACATTGTCTAGTTGTATATATTAAGACTGCTGACTGAGTTTTTCAAGTCTTCCATATCCTTCGAGATTTCTATCTAGATTTCCACTTCCTTATCAGCAGTGAAGTATTGAAATTATCATTTTTTAAAATTATCTACTAACCATATGTTTGAAATATCCATTCATAAGCATTAGTATAACCACTGTGCTTTTCATATAGTTGCTAATTGCATGGAAAGTTCTTTTCCATCCTTTAACACAATCATAACTTTAATTCTAAATGAATACTGCAAACAGCATATACTTGTTTGTGCTTTTTAAATCAACACTGATATATCTTTATCTTGTGATTGGATTTAGTGTATTCACATGTAGTTTTATTCCTGAAATTTTGAGTTATATCTGACATTTTTTGGGGGGTATGGTTTATATATATATATATATGTATGTATATATTTGTTATTCATTTTCTCTTTATTGGATTTTTCTGTATTAAATGGATTCTTACTTTATACCATATTACTTCCTCAGTGTTTTTAAGTGTATTTTTTAGGTGTTTTCTCAGAATTAAAATAAGTATCCAAGTTTCGCATCTACTCCAGATGTATATACTAACTTAATATCATTGTTATGAAATTTTCCTAAATTCCTTTTCTTTACTGTCACATAGAATTGTATCTATATGCTGCAAACCCAACAACCTAGTGTTATAACTGTTATTTTCAATAACCTTATTTCTTTTAACGATGTTAAGGGACAAAAAAATCTATTCATAAGTTTTTTTTATTATTATTATATTACATTACCATTTCTGGTTCTCATCTTTTCTTCCTCTGGCTTCAATTTACTGCACAGTGTCATTTTCTTACTCCAAATCCTACTGCCCTGATTTGTGATGTCATATATAAAATATCTCTGTATGCTAGTAACCCAACCACATAACTTTTTATGACTGTAGAGTAATAAAATTCCAGTTTCTGATTAATTTCTTTGAAAGAATGAAAACTGTCTCAAGTTTCATGATCACAAAGTAAGTTTCACTCATTTTTATATCAATTTTCTCATGACGCTGTTTTGGATGATATGTATTTATTTCTATTACTACAAAAAGGATGCTGCTAGATAACACAATGTTAGTAACAAGATATTTCAATAGTGTCACTGGCATCATTTAGAGTCTTACTAAATCACTGACCATCATTAAAAAAATATATCTACAATTTGGTGAACTAAATGAAATTGCCAGTATTTACAATTTTTAATCTGCTGGAAACTTGTAAGGTATAGTCTATAGATATCTGTATTCCTCAATCTAATTTACACACAAAGTAGATATGCATGTGTACACACACACACACACACACACACACACACACACACAACCTTACACATTTCTCTATCCACTATTTTCTTAGTGCTACTTCATTATTCTCCACACTACTTTATTCTAGCAATGAAGCTGCTAGGAGCATTAAAACCAACACAAACGTATCTAAATTAGAAAAAGAAAAGTAAGTCAAGTAATAATATTTATGTCCAAGGCAGAGAATAAACAATAAGATAAAAATTATTATATCATTACAAGCCATCATTTAGATACTGAATGGCATGGGCACCACATATAATTTTTAAATGAGATGTGGAAAGTCATACCAATTATCTCTCTTAAGTGGTCTTAAACTAGTGAGTAATATTCTAATTACACATTATAATTCTGTTCCCATCGATAGTAAATATCGAGATTCGTATACATGTCATCCCAACCCTTCACTTTAGGAATGAACTTTGAAGTCTGAAACTGAAACCTCTGAAAAATGGCCTGGCAATTACAACACTGTATCACTTTCCAATAGTATATGAAGTACTGTGATGGCCTAGCCAGTCAACAATGTGTCGAACAACGTGATAAATATTCTATCATATATATCTTTCCAGTCTTAAGTAAGGTTATGTTCC